CCCCCCCCCCCCCCCCCCCCTCCCCAAATTATTCCTTTATTCTCCGATTTTCCATAATTCAGGTCTGGAATTCCGGGCGGGATCAGCTCCCACCTGCACACACCTGGAGGAGGCACCGGGGCCAGGTGGGGGGGACACCTGCAGGGGGGGCAGCCAGGGAGGGGCACCTGGTGGGGGTCACCTGGGGCTGGGACAGCCAGGGAATGATACCTGGGATACACCTGGACAGGCACAGCCAGGTAACAACACCTTGAACAGGCACAGCCAGGTAACAACACCTGGGGGTCACCTGGGACACACCTGGACAGGCACATCCAGGTAACCCCACCTGGGGTCACCTGGGACAGTCACAGTCAGGTAACCAGTCCTGGGGACTTTCCAAGGGCTCCAGGTGTTCCTTGGGAAAGGCACAGCCAGGTAACCACACCTGGGGGTCACCTGGGACAGGCACAGCCACACCTGGAACAGGCACAGCCAGGTAACCACACCTGGGGGCTCCCAGGTGTTGCCAGCTCTCTGTCCATGTCCTTGTGCTGGGAGTGGGGATTGTCCATGTTCTCCAGCTGTCCCAGGTGTCCCAGCTGCTCCAGGTATTCCAGGTATCCCAGGTTCTCCATGTTCTCCAGGTGTCCCAGCTGTTCCAGGTTCTCCAGGTCCTCCATGCTCTCCAAGTGTTCCAGGTTCTCCAGGTATTCCATGTTCTCCAGGTGTCCCATGTTCTCCAGGTGTTCCATGCTCTCCAGGTGTCCCAGGTTCTCCAGGTATTCCATGTTCTCCAGGTGTTCCATGCTCTCCAGGTGTCCCAAGTTCTCCAGCTGTTCCATGTTCTCCATGTTCTCCAGCTGTCCCAGGTGTTCCAGGTGCCCCTATTTGAGGATGACGTGGTAGCTGTCGCTGCTTTCGGCTGCAAGGAGGGCACAGGTGAGGCCGGGGCAGGTGAGGGGGCTGTGCCCCCACCCCCCCCAGGTGCTCACACACCTTTCATGGTGTCCAGCACGAAGCAGGACTCGTCCGGGAAGTTCTGGATCATCTGGGAAAGGAACCGGAACAGAGGGATGGGGGGAGGATTGGGGGGACAAAGGGGCCCAGGTGGGAGCTCAGGTGGGAGCTCAGGTGTGTCCCAGGTGTATCCCAGGTATATCCAGGTGTGTCCAGGTGTATCCCAGGTGTTTCCAGGTGTGCCCAGGTGTACCCTGGGTGTCCCAGGTATATCCCAAGTGTATCCCAGGTGTGCCCAGGTATACCTAGGTGTATCCCAGGTATATCCAGGTGTATCCCAGGTGTCCCCAGGTGTGCCCAGGTATATCCCAGGTGAGCCCAGGTGCGCTACCTCGTTGCTGACCAGGACGTGGATGCCGGTGGGTCCCTGTTTGTAGATCTGCTGGATCTGGTGGGCGGAGACGCGGAACAGCTGCGCCAGCTTCTCGGAGAGCTCGGCCGCCGTCAGCTCCTCCAGGTACACCGCGTGGTACACTGGGGACAGGGGACACACCTGAGCCCCCCCAGGTGAGCCCCACCTGCCCCAGGTGTGCCCCAGCCCCCCCAGGTGAGCCCCACCTGCCCCAGGTGTGGTCTCTCTCCCCCCCCTCACCAAAGAAGGTCCCGGCGCTGCCGTCACCCTCGTCGGGCTCGTGCTGGGGGTCCCTCACCTGCTGCGACTCCTGACACACGTAGATGGTCAGGCGGGGCCTCACCAGCCTGGACAGGTGAGGGACAGGTGAGAGGGGACAGGGAAGGGACATT